ATCTTATTAAATGTGCAAATCTAGGTGTATGCTTAAATTGAATCTAAATGTCTAGTTACTTGCATTTTATGTTTATTTTTAATATAAAAGATAAAGTAAGTGCCATGAGTTAAGACTTTCTGCACTACAGCCCTTAGTTGGGACCAGTGGTTGGAAGGATTAAGTGGAAACATAGTGTTTCGACATAAAACAGGAGAATACAACCTAGTAGCCAGGACAACTGCTGGTGGGCCAAATCAAATGGCTTGGCGGGCCAATTTTGGCCCACGGGCCCCACTTTGGCCACCTCTGAACTAAACAAAAGCTTAAACCAGAATAAACTGGATATTCATTATCAACAACCACCAGTAATTTATGTGCTTTAAGGTAAAACTAGTCAAACTAGTCAGTTTTTATCTTCTAGGGTAGAGAATGCCTGATAAATATGACTTCCAGCCAGCCCAACGTGACCCTGAACCTTAACATCAACTCTGCCACAGAGGCACACATTGGAAATTACTCCTGCAAGACCCAACCACCGGATACAATCAGCCCTACAGTCTCCGTTAATATTAGAGGTTGGTCTGATCTTTTTTAACTACCACATTTTACCCATTCATAAATAAAAATGTGTAGATCAATCAGGAAAGGAAAACTATTTTTTTTGCCAGTTTTATATTTTTCTAAAGATCAGTGAGGATCGGTGGTCTGTGTATCCCTCTTGTGTCCGTTTCATGCCATTGCTCTTTCACAGTCCTCAGTTCTCAGATCATTTCTCTCCTGTCTGTTATTTGTAATCAGTCCTTTCGCAGCTGCAGTTCATCATCCTCATTCCTTCTGTGTGTTTATACTGGTCTCTTGTCACTGTTTCCTTCCTGGTTCATTGTATGGCTTCGTTCTAGTTTTGGCTCTCCTAGCGGCTCCCTGCATTCCTTGTGGTTTTGTTATTTTGCTGCCACGTCAGCCCTTTGGTTTTGGTAAATAATAAAACCTTGTTATTCCTTTGAACCTGCCTGCCTCTTGGGTTCAACTCCTGCCTCAGAGCTTGACAAAATCTAATTTAATTTTCATCAAAATTAATCTTATAAAGAATATCTGAAGATTTAATTTTATTCATTAAACATTGTTCTTTTTGAAATCTGCTTGAGCATAATGGCTCCATGTTTGTCTTCTTAAGCTACTTTTTACCATTCAAAAACAGTTTTGATTTTTTTTAGCTACCATTCTTTTAACTTTGAGCTGTGACTTTACTACTTTTAATGACAGTTTATGCAATCTAAGTTTTAGCTACAGTTTGGATTTTTTTAGCTAAAATTTTGCATCTTTTGTTTAAAAATTTGATCATTTTAGCTGTTTTTTCCCCTGATTTTGGCTTTAGCATTCTCTTGATTTGCCTACTTTATCTTGCAAATTTAAGCTTTCCTGCTCTTATCAGGCCCAAGCAACAGAGTGCTGTGAAGGCTTATGGTTTTTCTAATGTTTATTTTTTATTATTACCATCAGGCATAATAATCAAATATATCCAATGACATTTGGCTAGTAGACAAACAGTGGCAAAACTTTAGCAGCAGGCAATTTTAGCTGCTGTGAAATGGTTTTCCCTGACTTTTTTTTTTTTTTTTTTTTTTTTTTTTGGTGAAGAAAGCCAAACTCGCATGTCTGGGTGATTTAGGTGACATAAAGTTCATATATTCATATAATAGATAAATATAAAAGTATTTATTTGTTCTATGTGCATGTGTTAGGTGGGTTAGATAAATTAAAGATGTTTAATTTTAGCTTACTTTGTTTTACAGCAGTTGTTCAGCTTCCAAAAGAAGATGTTTGAAGTCCTAAAATTTTCTAAGCTCTCATTGTCGATTTTTCCTTTCTCCAGAAAATATGACAAAACCATCTCGTCTGAGCACAACTAGCCCTCCCAAACTTTACTGCACCCAAGGTGAGAAAATATATCATACTTATTTTGTGGCTATTTAACTTTGCTGTTCTTTTGTGTCTCATTGGAAGGTACTTTCATTCTCTCTGTGTGACTGCTTGTTAATAAAGTATTATATGAATCACTGTTGAATTTCAAAGAAACTCAAAAATTAATTAGCTGCACATCTATATTTTATTAACTGTGAAGTGAACGCGAGTCTCCAGCTTATCAATTCAGCCAATACATAAATCATCATTTTTATAAATATTGAACTAAAATATGACACGGCTGAGATTAGATTATGTTCCTTTTTGCTTTATTTTTAAGTTGTGATGCTTCAAATTTTACTGCCTTAGATGAGCTCTAATGGAAAATAATTCAGCTGAGGAGTTTTTCCTTGTACTACAAACTAACACTTTTATATTTGAACCTGTGAGACCATACCTTTAACAGCAAAATAATTTTAGGTTATAAGAAAGGCAGACAAACAAAGGTTTGACAACATTTTAGTTATAGTTTAAATGCTGAGGCAACATTTCTCTTGTATTTGTTCATATTTTCTTTCTTACATTTTTTACAGCTACTTCCTTCTCATCCTTTCTGTTGTTTAAATCATTCATGCATTAAAACATTATTTCACAATTTATAACTATACCTTCTGTATTTAGCTACTCTTTTGCTCATTTTAGCTTTAGATACTGATGTACTACTTTGAGTTATTTGTTACTATTACTTTTAGCTACTGCTCTGCTAGTTTTAGCTACACATTTTGCTGTTTTGTGTTAGCTTTTACCTATTTAGCCATTTTCTGTAGTTGGGTCTACATTTTTTGGTGTTTTTACTCGTCTCTTAAACGATGAATGTATCGGTTGCTTATATGTTCCTGCTCCTGTGTTTCTGCAGAGGTTTTAGATGAACATATATTCCATTTGTGTTCATGCAGGTCTGAAGGGTCAGATGTGGTTCTGGATGATTCTGGGAAAAACTGGCATCCTCCTCCTTAGTTTGGCTTCTCTGGCAGTAAAACACAAGAGGATGAGAAAATAAAATGCATTCTCCTTAACAGCAACATCCCCTTCAGTGCTTTGATTTCTGTTTCTTGAAGCTTATTTGCTGGTATGTATCTCATTGACTTTGCTTCTGAAGATCCTTCACAATCAAATTGTTTACATAAAATTTTAATAAACATAAAAATCAAACATTCAAGCTCCTTCCAAGCTTAAGTGTCATAATTTTGTCACATTTCTGCAAAGAACTTTCATGATCAAAGTCATAATGGAGTCTGATGCAGCTCAGTAATTCAGGTAGAAAAATAAAAAATTAGGTCCTTGTTTTTTTCTTTTTGATAAAAGAGTCTAACTCAAGTTATTGTTTATACAATATTATCACATGGCCATTCATCTTTATCTCTGTAATCAACAGCATCACTGTCATCTGGAGGTTGAGCATCATCACATTCTTTTGTCATGTGTCCACTTGCTGATTTTAATTTTACATGTTGTGGTCACCCTCTCAGTCTGAGCACAAGCATTTACAAGTCATGCAAAAGTCTAAGCAAATAAACACAGATCAACATCATTAACATCCCTTGTAACTAAACGAACCATAATGCTTTAGATCACATATATATTTATTTTTATTTTATATGCACAGTATATAAGGATATTTGCGACAGACTGCTGCATCCGAGGTGCACAAAGGAGCGTTATCGCAGATCCTTCCTACCTGCAGCTGTCAGACTCTATAATCAGCACCACGCCCAAAAATTACAAGAAGTGTTTACAAAAATCACAATAGGTGTTAATTAGGTGTCAACGATAGCCATGTGATGTGAGTATCAGTCACATGGAGGCAGGGCTTAAGAGCCTGAATTTTGCCTGAAACTCTCAGACTGAAGAAGTCTCTTGGAGGAGAGATGAAACGTTTCATTAAAGAAGAACCCGTCCAGAAGACCTATACAATTTTTTTCTTTTTGATTTTTTACCTGGATTACTGAGATGCATCAGGACAAAAATCACAGTGTTTACACACCTGCTGCTGCACAATCATTTGTACTGTTACTATTCATTGCCATTACTCATCTGAACAATTATTTGCATTACAACTCATTTATATGTGACCCATCATATCGAAATGAGGATTAAGTCAAATTCGGTCAAAATGACCTAATTACATTTTCAGATTCTTGGCTTTAAAAGCTACATTTTGATACCTGGATCATTCAGATATCACAATTAAATCCATATATATGACTTTATTTGTCTTGTTGGTTACAATAATACAYAAATATTTGGTCTGAATCCTAATTTTGTCATTTTAATGAGGAATTTTTGATGTYCTTATAAAGAGGAAACCTCAAATTATATTTGAATATTGAGATTTYCCAGCTAAAAAGAAACAAAACTTTGCTAACTTACAGAGAAAATCTGAAAATTTTAAGGCGTTTTTCCACAAAATCATTTCTTTGTTACTACTGCTCAAAAAAGTGCTTCAAATTTTAGTTTTATGATTATATTTCAGGCATTTCATTCAAATGATACATTGATAAGGCTTTTATTCATTACATTTTGACAAAAATACAATTTTTGTTAACATTTTAGTCGAAACACTATATTTAGCCTTTTCTCTATATATAACTTTTGGACTTAATCCTCATTTCGATGTGATGGCTCACATATTATTAATAATCTGAGCAATCACTTGCTCTATTATTACTCTTAAAGTTTAAAATAATTCTGCTGTAAATGCACATCTGCTTCTTGTCTGCACAGAGATACTTTACAGTTAATAGTCTGTTGAGATTATTTTGCATTGATATTTTGATTCCTAATGTCAGATTCTGATAGTCTACTGTCTCTAAAACAAAACATATCTTTTTTATTCTTGCACAATTTATATATTTATGTATAATTATTATTATATTATTTATATAATATATTTAGTTAATATTATTTTTTATTAGTAGTAGTCGTATCATTGCTAGTTAGTGCATATAGTTTGTAAAGTCAAGGCTTTACCTAGTCTAGTCATGGATCCACACTCCAATCCAGAAGGTGGCGGTAATGCACATAACAGTTGTTTGTCAATCGCCAAATAAAAACAGAAGAAGAAGAAGCATTTCCGCTGCTGCTACAGTGAGAGGTCGCTGTTATTATTAGCTCTAACGCTTTATTTTTCCTTCAGAAACATTGGTTTGAGTTGAACAGCCGGCATTATGCTCCCAGAAACTGTACCGTGTTTAAAAGCGCTGGCTCCTTTGTTTGGTAAAAAGCTTTTGTTGCGGAGTTTGAAACAGCTCTCCACACATGGTGGAGGACTCAGCCGCCTTCAGGCCGGGAGACATTTTGGAGTCAGCTGCTGTTTAGCAGCCAAAAAGGACAAGCAACCGCGGAAACCCAGGGAGAAGGTGGTAATCCCCGGACTGGAGATGATCACATATGCAGAAAGGATGCACTATGTGCCGGGACTTGCTAAGCCTGTATTCCCGCACTGGGAGAGGGACTACCATGACCCGTTTCACTACAAGCCTCCGCCTAAAATCGAGATGCCGCTTTATAGCGAAAAGGTGTGCTACATGATCACTCAGAGGACGAATATGCTGGAAGGTAAGACTAGTGAAACACTTAGCTGTGCACACACTCACTACGACACTCAGGGCACTAAAATTTACAGTCTTCTACAAGCTTTGCAAGTGGGAAAACATGAAAAATCAACGGTGGATCAAATACTTGTTCTCCCCACTGTATCTTTATGTAACGTTTATTTGCCCTGTTTTTTTGTTAATGTTTTCAATAAAATGAATAAATAAAAGTTATCAGGAAAGGAGGTACGGAAGGTTTCTGTGAGCTTTGACCCCTGACATCACAACGTCACTTCCTGAAGACTGGTGCGGCCTTCTTCTTGGATGGGTACCTCGCTCTCCCAGCGCATTTGTTTATACTGAGAAAGCTGTTCATCCAACTAAAATAATCGCAACTCCACGATTTTTTTTCACACGGTTTGGTTTGTTATAAAAAGCAGAGATGTAGTAATGTTATTGGACATGGTCACACAAGCTTTCATGCTGAAATACTTTTTTTAAATTATTGTCTCGTAAATTGTCTTTATTGTCTGTCTGTTCTTATATTCAGGTGCATCAGCAGCTAAGTGACAGGAAATTCACACAGGGTGAACATATTTTGTATGAATAAGAAACAAAGAAAATTTAAAGAAAATACATTTTGTAATAAAGAAATATGTTTGATTGTTAAAAAAAAAAACGTTACAGAGGGACAGAGCGGCGTCCCTCTTGAACGTCATCATTATGTGCCGAGTTTCTTCAGTCAGGTGCATAATAAACACAGGAGAATGTGGGTGTGTCCAAAACAACAGGCCGGGTCCTCTGGAGGACCCAGACTCCCCGGTCTCGGCGGGCCCGGTCCTTAGTAGACCGGGAAGACCGGAAAAAAAGAGGCTGTGAATTTGGACGGTCTAGCCACCCCACCACCCCGGCG